AATATCAAACTCCGAACGTGTGTGTGTACGGATCAAGCCGGCGCCTTCCCGCGATCGTCACTAGTACCTGAAACAATAACATCAAACACTGTAAGCACAAGGCTTAGTGAGTTCCCCAAAATACGACATATAACACATATTAGCCACTCGAGGCTATAACTCTGTGGGTCCGTGCACCCAAACTCTGTGAACCCTTAGGTTCTAGCTTTGATAAACATGCACCACATAAATCACATAGAAATAATGCAGTACAACACGTAACATACATAGCATACAAATACTCTATCACATAACTCTGGTTACCTATTCAAGGTAAAGTATAGTGAGAAGACTCACCTCGTGTGTCTCGGTAAGTCGTAAATCTGAAATCGCTAATCACTCGATCTGCCGAGCTATAGTCCTCCTATAGCACAATACATCTCTAATTAACACTTTCCCAACTAGGGTTGACCATACTATAACAAGTCAACTTAGGTCAACGGTCAATGGTCAACTTTGACCGGACTCGGCGAGTGCGCTATAGCGACTCGGCGAGTCTGAGCGTATACACCAATTTCCCTGGAATCCTCCCTTGACACGTCGAGCATTCTCCTAACTCGACGAGTTCCACCTGGCATGAGTTGTGGGGCCACCACGACTCAACTCGCCGATTCTCAAGAACAACTCGACGAGTCCATCTTGACTCAGTCCACCTGTCCACTCTGACTGCCCCCTGACTCACTGAGTCAACCCTCCCCAACTCGGCAAGACCACTCACTGTGTGGTCGGGCAACATTCATGCTACTCGCCGAGTCTGTTCTTCGGACTCGGCGAGTCCGTGCCATGCAATGACTCAAACTTGCTCATAAGGTCAGATCCAGTCCATTAACCCATAGATCCAGTCCTTCCAAGCTCATTTAGCACGTAAAGTTACAATCTTGATGCACATACAACCTCTATATGACCATATATGATGTTTTTTACTCAAATACTACAACACAAGGTCATAAACTCCATTGCCATACATAAAGCTTGATGAGTGAGGGTCTCTGGACCTCTATGGATCCAGATCCAAAACCTCAGCACAAGGAGGGAACCATTGGGCATCAAATCATCCCATAAATGTCCATAAGAAGCCCTAGATCGCATAAAACTTCACCAAACAGAATATAAACCGAAATCATACCTCTAGATTGATGATCTAAGCTCCAAATCCACGAAATAGCAACCTCCTTTGCTTCCTCTTGCCTAGGATCTCCTCCTTCTTTGCTAAATGGCACACTCAAGGTCAAGAAATGCTCCTTTCTCTCTCAAATCGCTCAAGCACTCAAGGGTTTCTCTCTAAGGGTTGGGTGAGCACAAATGACGGCCATAAGGCCCTTTAAATAGGTCTCAAACCCGGAAATTTAGGGTTTCACTACACAGCGCAGACTCGCCGAGTCCATATCCTGGACTCGCCGAGTCCAGGCGCGATCCATCGTCCAATCCGCGTCTCTACTCGGCGAGTCTGAGCTCCAACTCGCCGAGTCCCCCTCACAATTCAACAAAATTCAATTTACATGATACCTGGTAAAAGTCCGGATGTTACATTTTTTTTCTTATTTTTGTCTTTATTTTTCACAAACAAAAATTCAAAAAGAATTTCTTTAATGTTTGTATGTTTTTATTGTGTTTAACCTTTATGTGACTCATCGTATCAAAATATTTCGTGCAGTACTACAAAAACCGCCTTTTACGACACGTAATGCGTGCTGTAAAACGCTCAGACGACTCGCAAATGCGTGTTAAGGAAGGCCATATCATAACGAAAGACGACACGTTTTTTGTGTTTGTCTATTTACAACACGCATTTACGACACGCAATGCGTATCAAGGAAGGCCCTGTCATAAAGGAAGATGACACGCATTTGCGTGTTGTAACCTTACGACGCACATTTACGATTCGCATTGCGTATCATTAAAGCTCCTGTCATAAAGAAAGACGACACACATTTTTTCGTGTTATAATTTTAAATGTTTTAAAATTTATATATTTTGATAGATTTAGTAATTTTAAAACTAAATAACACATTAAAAGTCTCATGGTACAAAATTAAATACTGCAAATAAGAAAGATAATTCATCGCACGAATATATCAAATACAAATAATCATTCCAATAGTAAGTAAATATAATACATGTACAACGTTAAAAGAAACCCATGAGTAATTTCTTCTTTGACAATCTCCATGGGAGCTTTAAGCTTTGCAACCACACCACTTGAAGATACATCAACCAGTGTCGACTCTTTTTCTACCAGCTTGTACCTAACACATTCTACATTTTCATGCCCAAAATCAGCTACTTGAAAATGGTTCAATTAACCACCAAAAAGTTTATAACCAACTTCACAAGTCATAAATTATGATGCATCATATAATAAGCAGATAGTGTTTGATGCATACTATGATTTTCCATAAATTATGATGAGCTTGATAATAGAAATATGTTGCCTTTTTATAGCAAGACACTTTTGTTAATTCTTCATGACCTTGCAAACAACATATTATCAACTCTTTTCAATTCTACGCATAAGCACAAACCGCCACAACCTCTAATCAAATCACTTTTTACCATGGAGGGTAAAAAGGGAATAAATTAAAGTAAAAAACAAGGCAAACTAATTTTAAAAAATTTGGATATTCACAAAATTTCAAAAATACAATCATCATTTAAAAGGGTATTTTAGTCATTTGCACAAATAATGGACGATTGAAGCCATGTGTACCTTCCCAACAACACCAAGTTGCATCATATCATAGGCGGAAAATGGAAATAAACATTTAGTCACCTAATGACTCAAGCTTCTGTTATCACAAATTTATCATGTAAAAAACAAAAATCAAAAGAATGCATGATGCTCCTGCTGAGATGCATATGTAGCTTAATGTGTATAATGATTTGAATAAAGGAATGCCTGGAACATATGATGTTGAATAAATCCAATATTAACTAAAATTTTAAAGTAAGTAGCAAAAGGAAATTCAACATCAAACTAAAGTCAATTGTAGTATTGTACCTTGGTTATAGCATTATCGAACGATCCATCCAAGAGTAAAACTCTGAGGGGTAGAATAGCAAATTAATAATGTCAGTTGAAGATGTTATCTATAAAAATAATACACATTACGTATTTTATCAAAACTAAATTAGCCAAAAAGTGTAACGTTTATTTACCATTAATGCAAATGAGGATACAATGATAACACCAGTTTTAAAAATTATTCTCAAGATGCTAATGGAAGATATGGCTTGTTAACCTGAGAAATGTCTTCATCATTAAAAGAACTTGATTGAAGTTGCTAAAAATATATTTTTTTTTAAACATTCATTGTCTATTTCTATATCCGATAGCTGATTCAAGCAAAGAAACATCGGTAGAGTTCACATAATCATATCATAAGGGATTGGTGGCCAGTGACAAAACTACATCAGAAGAGCTTTATCTTCTTTACTTACGCCTTGAGCAACTTCCTAAAACCACTGAATAACAGGAGATGCAACACTATATCTAGAATACTCTATATTACGCCTCATATCATCCAATAAAAAACAAACAAACTGCTGTGTAAATAACCAATAACAAAAAACAAATAGAAATATAAGCAAAATATTTGAGTTGCTCATAGATGATATATGGAAGTCCACTAATTAATAACTCCAATTCTTTATCATGAAAGATGGATATGAAATCCCGAGGGACCAATTCGTTAAAACCCTCCAAAAATGCATTTATTTGAGGACAGATAGCAGTGGTCAACCGATGCTCGGCAACTAAGTCTATGTATTCGTGTTTGTTTAGGTCTGTAACTCGAATGTTTCTTCCACCAGGGACTTGATGGGAACATATTCGCTAATTGATGAAGAATCAAAATCAAATACCTTTACTGTTACTTTTGAGAAAGTAACAGGGGAGAAGTAGAAGGATGAACATGGAAGGAGACAACGAGGGAGGGCGGCAGATGGAACGGAGAGAAGAGAAGGAGGCGATTAATATGTTGCAGAACCCTTAATCTCCAGCGTTTGTGAGTGAGATGAAGGGTTTTTTTTACTGGCGGGAAGGGTTTTTTGACCGGGCTTAGGGTGGTCGACGGAAGAGAACATGAAAACGACTGGAATAAGATGCTTTCCTTTTTTTTAATAACTTCTAGCAACCAGAAGAGAAGAAATAGATATAGCCCTAAGCCCTAGTATCTTTGTTGATTATGTGAATACGGGCCATACATGAAGATAAATGATGGAGACATACCATATCTGAAGAATTTTGGGTAGAGGTATGGTTGGGTCCGATTTAACTATAGATTTCAAAGTGGTCATGGAATTTGCAGAGATTGATTAATTAGGTCATGGAAAGGACAATAACATGATGATGGATTAATTGCTCTGATACAAATTTTAACAACATGATGGATAAATGAATATTAAGATAAGATTATACCTGATTGATACGTTGAATTGTCTTGATCATGGATTGTGTTGAATAATTGAATGTTTATGTGGATAGTTTTGATAGGGCTCTGCTATTCAGAAATAGACAAACTATTTCAACAGAGAAAAAACTTTGAGATCAACTCAAGTCTTAAACACTCAAACTTAACTTGTTTATTTCATATGGACCAAGACCCTATTTATAGGCTCGAAGGAGTCGGTTACATAATTGGGTTGCAATCGTTTGATTGCAAAACGACACACATATTTACATTATAGCCCCTAGACTATTGAGGGTTACACACTTTATGTTACATTACAAATAATACAACCGACACTTAATAATTATCCTACCGACACTTCTATTTAATTACATAAAAATAACAATATAATAATTCCTTCCACGTTGAAAGGACGGGTGTCTTCAATAATGTCTTCAATGATGTGTTTTCTTTAATAATGATTGCTTTCTCCCACCTCCAAAAAGACATATTTTTGAATAATGTTTTCTTTTATCGTTAATCTTCCATGAATGGTGTTTCTTCTATGTTTTCTCAACAGTGACTGCAATTGTGTCTTGGTGCATGCATAATATGTTTACAAAGTTGTTTTTTGATATCAGCAGGTAATTCAGCTAATTGATGAGAAAACTTTTCGAAAGGTTGTTCGAAGGTTTCAATTGCTTTCATTGCTTCCGGAGTGATTTCACTGTCTGTTAACGAATAGATAATGAAAGTTTTACTAGCGTAATTCACTCTGATTCTTGACTTTTGATCTTTATCGTTGCCTATACGTGATGATGCTAAATAGACACCGACGAGTGCAAAAATTAGATGATCCTGTGTTGGTGATTCTCGTGGTAGATCATCTTTTGTTGGTTTTGAGTCGTTGCTTATTCCCATGTTTGCGAAAGTAATACTTGGGACAATTAGTTGAGAGTCTTCATCAAAAATTGGATAGCTAGAATGCATTTTAATGAATAATACTCTTTCCTGTTTTGCAAATCGTATTTTATAATTTCTGATGATAGTTTGCACAGTAGAAGGGAACTCACTGATGCAGTGTAAATTGGTGCGTTCTAGATAGATGGTGTCGATGAATCCATGAATAAAATAATCCCATAAAGTCATAGGATCTGATAAGTCGGCTAAGAAAACGGCTTTAGGACCTGGGCGTCTGGCTATTGGATAAAAGCCCATCAAGGAATGGACTTCGGTGTATGAAATGAGGTTGTCCCATAATTCGGCAAATTTTTTGGCAGATGGTTTTTTCATGGCTTCTTTTTCTTTGGTTGATAGAATGGATTCAAGGGCAACTTTTGCATTTAATTGGTTAAGGGATCTTGGGATGGATACAAGTTTTTGTGGTGTGAAGCTGGATATGGGTTTTTGTGATGTTAGGAGAACTATTTTTGAACATTCGACATTATCTTTTATTACTGCTTTGTATGCTTTGTTGTATGCGGTTTCTGCTTCATTTTTCGTTCTGTAACTTTTGTGAATGATATTTTTTCAAAGAATATATGAATTGGCGATTCTCCAATCGTCATATACTCCTTTGTTTTCTCTGTTGAAAATTACGTACCATTTCTTTATATTTATATGATCTGCTTGTAGTGGTGGATACTCCTCCTGGTTTGGCGACATGGTTTGTTTTTCTGTTTCGAGTGCTATTTGTGTTTGACTTTCATCGGATGATATTTCTTCAATTTCTTTTTTTGGTTGCTTTGTTGTTGAGCTGCTAGCTGCTTCTTCTTTAGATGCTGAATAAGATGACAGAATTTGTATTGTTTGTTGTAGTTGCTCTTTTTCACGTTTGACTATTTCAAGCTGTCTGATTAATGATGCTTCTTGCTCTTCTTTTTGTCTGAACTGGTGTTTGACTTGCTTCATGATGGCTTCCATTTCAATATTTCTGCTGAATGAATATTTGCACCTTTTGGGTACCTGAATAATTGCTGATTGATGTTTGCTTTTAATATTTTAAATGATGATATGAGAATTTTCATATCAATGTATGCTTTGGTGATATTTTCATATCACTGTATACTTTATCATTGTTTACTTTGGATGGTATTTTCATACCAATATATGCTTTAGCAATGTATACTTTGGATAGGTTAGATATGAGGTTTCTCTCATGTTCTAAACCCAATAATGCTTTCTTTATAGGACTATTTACCTGAATCAGAATCAATATTAGTTGTATATGCATAAATATCTATATCTGAATCTATTCCTAAGTCTTCTATAGGTTCATACCCGAGATCATATGCAATTTTTAATAAGTTTGTTTCTTTTTCTTTTTTAGTCTTTTTTGGATATTCGTAGGCTTTGTGTCCGTCTTCTTGACATATCCAACATTTACAATCTTTTTTATTAGATGGACAGTAATTTGTGTTAGATTGATAAGTTAGCCGAAATCACATACTGATCGGTAACTCGAAATCCGTGCACATTTTCTCGATCACAAAAGAAATTTTACCAGGAAAATCAATGATTTCGAGCAACATTCATTCAATGGGTTTTTGCCAATTCAAAAGTTAAAGTTCCGTAGTGTGTGTGTACAAGTGTCGAAGCTTCGGTAATCCGGGTAAACGTATCACCATCTATAGTAATATGGAAACCATAAAACTCAGGTGGCATTCTAACTCTACTGGAACGCCTAAGAGGTAACGACTCGTCAATCGGTTCAACTGGAATTTATTCCTCAGGTTGAGCCCTAGCATTTTCACAGGTTCCTTCATCATTTGACTCTTGAATTTCTTCAAGATCAATTGTATTCCTACTGTCCTCTTTGCATATGAGTTCTCTCTTGCGAAATACTCCCCTTCATGTTATGAATACCGCATTGTCACTAGGTCTGTAGAACAAATATCCAAGGGAATTTTGTGGGTAGCCGATGAGAATACATCTCTCACTATGAGGTTCAATATTGTCATGAGTCTCTCATCTAACAAAAGCTTCACAGACCCCAAATCTTGATATGTGCTAACGAGGGAACCTTCTATATCCACATCTCACGAGGTGTTATGGCAACCTTCTTAGTTGGGACAAGATTAAGAATTTGGGTGACAGTATCTAAGGCATACCCCTAGAATGAGATTGGAAGTAAAGCTCGACTCATCATGGAACGGACCATGTCCAACAAGGTCCGATTACATCTCTCAACTACACCATTAAGTTGTGGTGTCCTGTGACGTGTTAATTGTGAAACTATTCCACATTATTTGAGGTAGTCGTGGAACTCGATACTAAGATACTTACCGCCTCTATCGGATCTAAGCATCTTGATCTTCTTGCCTAATTGATTCTCGACTTCTTGTTTGAACTCTTTGAACTTTTCAAACATTTCTGACTTATTCTTGATTAAGTAGATATATCCATATCTGCAATAATTATCAGTAAAATTCACATAGAATCGATTTGCATCCCTTGTGGTAGATCTGAAAGGCCCACACACATCTGTGTCTATGAGATCCAACAATCATTCACCTCTTTCACAAGAACAAGTAAGAGGTGATATTTTCGTCTTTCCTAGTAAACAAGACTCACACGTATCATCCGACCTTAAGTCAAATGATTCCAATACTCCATCCTTTTGGAGTTGGGCGATGCGTTTCTTATTAACATGTCCAAGACGACAATGCCACAAGCATGCTTTGTCTATACCATTAGAGAAATCAATTTGAAATACAATATTACCTAAATTGTCTACATACATCGTACTTTCATACAAACCATCACAAGGTAAAGCTTCAAAATAAAATACACCAGTTTTAAAAGAAGAAATAAAACCATTCTCATCACTAAAAGAATATCTAAAACCTTGTCTTAACAATGCATGAAAAGAAATAATATTTCATATCATTTCTGACGAGTAGAAACAATTCATGAAATCTAAACTAATATCATTACTAAGCACTAAGTTATAAACTCCAATCTTGGTAACAGGTGAAGATCTCATATTTCTCATGATCAAGTTCATTCTTCCATGCTCCACGTCCTCACTTCTTTTTAGCCCCTACAAATTAGAACAAATGTGAAAACCACATCTTGTATCAAGCACCCCAAGAATGAGAATATGATGAGTTTTTAGATAATATAGTGTAAATATATGCCGAGATTGGCTTCACTTTACCATCTTTAATATCTTGCATGTACTTCAGGCATCTTCGTTTCCAATGCCCTTGCTTATACATCACACAAAGACTTCGACATGTATCAAATGGACATAAAATGTGCCTTCCTGAATGGAGAATTAGAGGAAAAGGTTTATGTCGAACAATCACCAAGTTTCGTCAATGATAAGTATCCTGACTATTGTTATGTTCCCAATAAGGCAATTTATGGGTTTAAACAAGAACCTCGTGCCTGGTATGCAACCTTATCTAATTTTTTGAAACTTGCTAAATTTAAACAAGGATCAATTGATCCCATATTATTTCAAAACAAAGTTGGGAATCACCTGATGCTTGTTCAAATTTATGTTGATGATATAATTTTTGGTTCAACTAACCCTTTATTGTCGAAGGAATTTGAAGAGTTAATGAAAAGTAAGTTCGAAATGAGCATTATGGGCAAAATAAATAATTTTATGGGTTTACATATTCATCAGAGCAGGGAAGGCATTTTTATCAATAAAAAAAAATATATACGTGAAACCTGATAGAAAGATTTGAAATAACGAATAGCATAAAGCTAAAACTACCAATGGTAATGGGAAAACGCTTGAATCCTTCGTTGGATAAGCAAGCTGCGGACCTTACTACATATCGAATCATGATAGGATCGTTGTTATACTTAACTGCGAGTAGAACTGATATCATGTTTGTTGTATGTAATTGTGTTAGGTATCAATCGAACCCAAGAGAACCCCATCTTAGTGTTATGAAGAACATCTTTCTCTATCTTAAGGGAACAATGTCGTTGGAACTTTGGTATCCTTCGCATATAGGATTTTTTTGTTCAAGCCCTTTTAGACGCAGAATTTGGTGGGTGTCAATTGGAATGCAAAAGCACAATTGGTGGATGTCAGTTACCGGATGGGAAGCTTGTAAGCTAGAAATCGAAGAAACAAACATGTGTTTCGATTTCCACAGCTAAAGCAAAATATGTTGCAACTACATCTTGCACTTCTCAAGTCATATGGATTCAAAGCCAACTTTGTGATTATGCAATCAATATGAAGAAGATCAATTAATATTACGATTCACAAAGTTCCATTCGCATCTACCATAATCCGGTCCAACATTGAAAGACAAAACACATAGCTCTTCGCTATCATTTTATCAAGGATCTTGTCGAAGATGGTAATATCAAGGTTCATTTTGTCAGAACGGCGGATCAACTTGCAAACATATTCACAAAATCTTTAGATGAGAAAAAATTTATAAGGATTTTGAATGGTTTGGGAATGATTGATTCAAACTCAGTTCCTCACTCTTCGTGAATAAACAGATGTCAAAAGACTTCTGAAGTGTTCTGAGGTAATCGTTCATGGTCCAGCGTTCACATACCTTTGCATTTGAAATTCCTTTGAATGGTTCATATCACACTTCGCTGTATGGGGAGACGTGTTGTTTGACGTACAGTGTCTATGGGAGTTGCTACTTTTTGAATCGAAAGTCTTTGGTAACTGTTTATTATTTTGTTTTTGCTTTCAGTTTTATAAAACAAAATTTTCAAAAAAGATTTTCTTATTTTTGTCTTTAATTTTCAAAAAAAAAAATTCCAAAATTTTTTTTTTCTTATTTTTGTCTTTATTTTTCACAAACAAAAATTCAAAAAGAATTTCTTTAATGTTTGTATGTTTTTATTGTGTTTAACCTTTATGTGACTCATCGTATCAAAATATTTCGTGCAGTACTACAAAAACCGCCTTTTACGACACGTAATGCGTGCTGTAAAACGCTCAGACGACTCGCAAATGCGTGTTAAGGAAGGCCATATCATAACGAAAGACGACACGTTTTTGTGTGTTGTCTATTTACAACACGCATTTACGACACGCAATGCGTATCAAGGAAGGCCCTATCATAAAGGAAGATGACACGCATTTGCGTGTTGTAACCTTACGACGCACATTTACGATTCGCATTGCGTATCATTAAAGCTCCTGTCATAAAGAAAGACGACACACATTTTTTCGTGTTATAATTTTAAATGTTTTAAAATTTATATATTTTGATAGATTTAGTAATTTTAAAACTAAATAACACATTAAAAGTCTCATGGTACAAAATTAAATACTGCAAATAAGAAAGATAATTCATCGCACGAATATATCAAATACAAATAATCATTCCAATAGTAAGTAAATATAATACATGTACAACGTTAAAAGAAACCCATGAGTAATTTCTTCTTTGACAATCTCCATGGGAGCTTTAAGCTTTGCAACCACACCACTTGAAGATACATCAACCAGTGTCGACTCTTTTTCTACCAGCTTGTACCTAACACATTCTACATTTTCATGCCCAAAATCAGCTACTTGAAAATGGTTCAATTAACCACCAAAAGTTTATAACCAACTTCACAAGTCATAAATTATGATGCATCATATAATAAGCAGATAGTGCTTGATGCATACTATGATTTTCCATAAATTATGATGAGCTTGATAATAGAAATATGTTGCCTTTTTATAGCAAGACACTTTTGTTAATTCTTCATGACCTTGCAAACAACATATTATCAACTCTTTTCAATTCTACGCATAAGCACAAACCGCCACAACCTCTAATCAAATCACTTTTTACCATGGAGGGTAAAAAGGGAATAAATTAAAGTAAAAACAAGGCAAACTAATTTTAAAAAATTTGGATATTCACAAAATTTCAAAAATACAATCATCATTTAAAAGGGTATTTTAGTCATTTGCACAAATAATGGACGATTGAAGCCATGTGTACCTTCCCAACAACACCAAGTTGCATCATATCATAGGCGGAAAATGGAAATAAACATTTAGTCACCTAATGACTCAAGCTTCTGTTATCACAAATTTATCATGTAAAAAACAAAAATCAAAAGAATGCATGATGCTCCTGCTGTGATGCATATGTAGCTTAATGTGTATAATGATTTGTATAAAGGAATGCCTGGAACATATGATGTTGAATAAATCCAATATTAACTAAAATTTTAAAGTAAGTAGCAAAAGGAAATTCAACATCAAACTAAAGTCAATTGTAGTATTGTACCTTGGTTATAGCATTATCGAACGACATGCTCTTCTTGTAATTAGTGAACACTGCTAAATCTCTGTACACACCAACATGAAACATTACAAAAAAAATCCAGAGTTCCTTTTATACAGTTCATCTAACATAGTCCCAATTAAATTACAAAAATATTCAAAAGCTGTCATAAGTTCAGAGAGTTGTTCACACCTAAAAAAAACAGTAAGAAAATAAAAATTAAAAAAAACAATTTAAGTATTAATGAGAATAAAGGAACAAAGAGAAAAGAATAAACGTTTGTCAAAAAAGGAACCCCAGAATCACCCGTCCTCATTCCTTTAGCTTTATTTGATTATTGATTCCATAAATACCCTTCCTACTCTGTTCATCTTCGTTTGCTATTGATCTAACAACATAAAACATAATCACATGATTAACCAACGTAATAATTTATTCTAGTATCTTACTTTCATTTATTCCTATTATAAAATTATACTTTAAAAATAAATTTTTACAGAGCTATATTTGCATGAAGTTCTCAAGTATAAGAACAATGTTTGGATAGTAATCAAAGTATAGTTCTTTAATTGGATATATTTTTCAAAACTACAATGTTGTAATAGAAAGAAATGTAAGTGCATTATTGTTTCTTGCATCTCAGGCTTAAAGAAAATGTTGTAGCCAAACTGATAAATTTTAATCCATGTTTGATTGCAAAATTTAGAAAATCTACATATTTTTGTACCACTTTTTAACCAACAACCGCAGCAAAAAAGATACATCTTTACTGAGTAGAAGTAGAACTCTCCCGTTGACTTTTAAAAAGTCAACCATACGAAAAATGGTTAAATTTTAATTTGAAGGGAATTTTTTATTTTTAGTAAAAATACAGAGAAATTGTTACGTAAAAATTTTAGAGGGTAAAAGGGGTAGAAAAGTAATTACCTGAATGTGAAGATAAAATACAATTTGAAGTATTACAACTCTTACAGCTAGAATGCACATTAATGCAACAAGAGAAAATCTCTTCCAACTCAACATTGGCATCTAAAATTACCAATTTACCACTAGTTATTTTGATTTGAAGAATGATCAGTTTTAATATGATACTCAGATTATGTAACTTACATTGATTGAATATGCAGTTCCAAGAAGAAAACTTATGAAAAGTGCCCAAAATAAAGGCCATGAACCAACAATCCATCCAAGAGTAAAACTCTGAGGGGTAGAATAGCAAATTGATAATGTCAGTTGAAGATGTTATGTATAAAAATAATACACATTACGTATTTTATCAAAACTAAATTAGCCAAAAAGTGTAACGTTTATTTACCATTAATGCAAATGAGGATACAATGATAACACCAGTTTTAAAAGATTATTCTCAAGATGCTAATGGAAGATATGGCTTGTTAACCTGAGAAATGTCTTCATCATTAAAAGAACTTGATTGAAGTTGCTAAAAATATATATTTTTTTTAAACATTCATTGTCTATTTCTATATCCGATAGCTGATTCAAGCAAAGAAACATCGGTAGAGTTCACATAATCATATCATAAGGGATTGGTGACCAGTGACAAACTACATCAGAAGAGCTTTATCTTCTTTACTTACGCCTTGAGCAACTTCCTAAAACCACTGAATAACAGGAGATGCAACACTATATCTAGAATACTCTATATTACGCCTCATATCATCCAATAAAAAACAAACAAACTGCTGTGTAAATAACCAATAACAAAAAACAAATAGAAATATAAGCAAAATATTTGAGTTGCTCATAGATGATATATGGAAGTCCACTAATTAATAACTCCAATTCTTTATCATGAAAGATGGATATGAAATCCCGAGGGACCAATTCGTTAAAACCCTCCAAAAATGCATTTATTTGAGGACAGATAGCAGTGGTCAACCGATGCTCGGCAACTAAGTCTATGTATTCGTGTTTGTTTAAGTCTGTAACTCGAATGTTTCTTCCACCAGGGACTTGATGGGAACATATTCGCTAATTGATGAAGAATCAAAATCAAATACCTTTACTGTTACTTTTGAGAAAGTAACAGGGGAGAAGTAGAAGGATGAACATGGAAGGAGACAACGAGGGAGGGCGGCAGATGGAACGGAGAGAAGAGAAGGAGGCGATTAATATGTTGCAGAACCCTTAATCTCCAGCGTTGTGAGTGAGATGAAGGGTTTTTTTTTACTGGCGGGAAGGGTTTTTTGACCGGGCTTAGGGTGGTCGACGGAAGAGAACATGAAAACGACTGGAATAAGATGCTTTCCTTTTTCTTTAATAACTTCTAGCAACCAGAAGAGAAGAAATAGATATAGCCCTAAGCCCTAGTATCTTTGTTGATTATGTGAATACGGGCCATACATGAAGATAAATGATGGAGACATACCATATCTGAAGAATTTTGGGTAGAGGTATGGTTGGGTCCGATTTAACTATAGATTTCAAAGTGGTCATGGATTGATTAATTAGGTCATGGAAAGGACAATAACATGATGATGGATTAATTGCTCTGATACAAATTTTAACAACATGATGGATAAATGAATATTAAGATAAGATTATACCTGATTGATACGTTGAATTGTCTTGATCATGGATTGTGTTGAATAATTGAATGTTTATGTGGATAGTTTCGATAGGGCTCTGCTATTCAGAAATAGACAAACTATTTCAACAGAGAAAAAACTTTGAGATCAACTCAAGTCTTAAACACTCAAACTTAACTTGTTTATTTCATATGGACCAAGACCCTATTTATAGGCTCGAAGGAGTCGGTTACATAATTGGGTTGCAATCGTTTGATTGCAAAACGACACACATATTTACATTATAGCCCCCTAGACTATTGAGGGTTACACACTTTATGTTACATTACAAATAATACAACCGACACTTAATAATTATCCTACCGACACTTCTATTTAATTACATAAAAATAACAATATAATAATTCCTTCCACGTTGAAAGGACGGGTGTCTTCAATAATGTCTTCAATGATGTGTTTTCTTTAATAATGATTGCTTTCTCCCACCTCCAAAAAGACATATTTTTGAATAATGTTTTCTTTTATCGTTAATCTTCCATGAATGGTGTTTCTTCTATGTTTTCTCAACAGTGACTGCAATTGTGTCTTGGTGCATGCATAATATGTTTACAAAGTTGTTTTTTGATATCAGCAGGTAATTCAGCTAATTGATGAGAAAACTTTTCGAAAGGTTGTTCGAAGGTTTCAATTGCTTTCATTGCTTCCGGAGTGATTTCACTGTCTGTTAACGAATAGATAATGAAAGTTTTACTAGCGTAATTCACTCTGATTCTTGACTTTTGATCTTTACCGTTTCCTATACGTGATGATGCTAAATAGACACCGGCGAGTGCAAAAATTAGATGATCCTGTGTTGGTGATTCTCGTGGTAGATCATCTTTTGTTGGTTTTGAGTCGTTGCTTATTCCCATGTTTGCGAAAGTAATACTTGGGACAATTAGTTGAGAGTCTTCATCAAAAATTGGATAGCTAGAATGCATTTTAATGAATAATACTCTTTCCTGTTTTGCAAATCGTATTTTATAATTTCTGATGATAGTTTGCACAGTAGAAGGGAACTCACTGATGCAGTGTAAATTGGTGCGTTCTAGATAGATGGTGTCGATGAATCCATGAATAAAATAATCCCATAAAGTCATAGGATCTGATAAGTCGGCTAAGAAAACGGCTTTAGGACCTGGGCGTCTGGCTACTGGGTAAAAGCCCATCAAGGAATGGACTTCGGTGTATGAGCGACCAGCAATGTCGAGGCAGTTACGACCAAGGGCAAAGCCAAGGCAAGGCCATCGGCCAAGCTCACCGGTGATATCCAAGTCGCGATTTGCGTTTGCTTGGTGAAACCAGGTCGCGACCAGCCACTCCTCGACGAGATCCTCGCAAGCGGCCCATTTTCACCGATGAAAAACCTGATCGCGACTAAAATTGCCCCACGTCGTGCTGGTTCCAAAAAATTATGCATGATATGGAAAATCAATGTCTGTTCCTGTCACCAAGCTCTTCGTGCAATATGTATATATAGGGGGGACCATGGAGACCGAAGCCACCAGCGAGCATCGAAAAGGCAAGCCCCTAGACCCGTGAAAGAATCGCACCCCCCCAGCACGTTGCCTTGATAGCTCCAACGACGACCCAGAAACTAACACCGTTGCCTTGATTCCTTGAACATGTTGCCTTAAATTGTCGAACGATGACCCGATGATGAGCATCGCTGCCTAGATTCGTTGAACGACGACCTTGGTTTCCTTGATCTTGTGAACGATGACCTGAAAACGGGCCTCTTGGAGAACCGGGGAGCTATCCGCGTTGCCTTGATTGCTCGAATTACGACCCAAAAACTAGTCTTGTTGCCTTGATTCCTCGAACATGTTGCTTAATTTGTCGAACGATGACCTGATGAGTAGCGTTGTGGCTTAGATTTCTTGAACGACGACCTTGAAACTAGTCGTGTTGCCTTGTTTTCTTGAGCTTGTTGGCTTGATTTTTTGAACGATGACCTGAAAACTAGCCTCTTGGAAAACCGAGAAGCAATCCACGTTGGCTTGATTTCTCGAATTACGACTCAAAAACTAGCCTTGTCGCCTTGATTCCTCGAACATGTTGCGTTGATTTGTCGAATGATGACATGATGAATGGCGTTGTTGCTTAGATTTCTTGGACGATGACCTTGAAACTAGCCCTGTTTCCATGTTTTCTTGAGCTTGTTGCCTTGGGTTTTCGAACGATGACCTGAAAACGAGCCTCTTGGAGAACCGGGGAGCTATCCGCGTTGTCTTGATTGCTCGAATTACGACCCAAAAACTAGTCTTGTTGCCTTGATTCCTCGAACATGTTGCTTAATTTGTCGAACGATGACCTGATGACTAGCGTTGTCGCTTAGACTTCTGGAACGACGACCTTAAAACTAGCCCTGTTGACTTGTTTTCTTCGGGTTTGTTGCCTAGATTTTTTGAACGATGACCTCAAAACTAGCCTCTTGGAGTACCATAGAGACGAAGAAACCACCGAGCTCCGACAAGGCAAGCCACAAGACCCATGGAAAAAGCCCACCCACAATATGTTGCCTTGGTTGCCCGAGCGACGAACAGAAAAGATGCCATGTTGCCTTGATTACTCGAACTTGTTGAATTGTTTTTTCGAACGATGACCTGATGACAAGCCCTGTTGCCTAGATTTATCGAACGATGGCCCTGAAAGACGCCTCCCCCACCACGTTGCCTTGTTAACTAGTTCCATGTTGCCTTGATTTCTCCAACACGCTGCCTTGACATGTCGAACGATGTCCCGAAACCTAGCCCCGTTGTCTTTATTTCTTAAACAACGACCTGGAAAATAGCCTCGTTACCTTGATTGTTGGAACACGTTTCCTTGATATCACTAAGGACAACCTGCAAAACATGCATGGTTGCCTTGAATACTGGAGCACATTGCCTAGAAAACTTGCCTAGATGACCTGAAAACTAGCCGTTTGGGGCCTTGGTTTCTTGAACGATGACCTGAAAACTAGCCACGATGTGTTGATTTCTCCCGACATCGTGCGCATACTTAAAATTATGCATCCTCGGGCAAATCAACGTCTGTTGCCTTGATTGCTTGAACATGTTGCCTTGACTTTTAGAACAATGACCTGAAAACTAGCCTTGTGTCCTTGAACTGTAGGGCATGTTGTCTTGATATCTCAAACGAAATCCTGATTGCTATCCCCATTGCCTTGATGGCGACGAAGCTACCATCGAGCACCGAGAAGGCAAGCCCAATGACCCGTGAAGGAAGCCCGCCCCAACATCTTGCCTTGTTTTCTCGAGCGACGACCTATAAACTAGCCTTGTTGCCCTGATTATTTGAACTTGTTGCTTAGATTTCTTGAACGATGAGCTTGAAACTAGGCCTGCTACCTTTTTTGTTGCCTTGATTTTTAGAACGATGACCTGAAAACTAGCCCTGTGGCCTTGGTTTCTAGAACATGATGTCTTGATATCTCGAATGACGAGCGGAGAGCAGTGCCCGTTGCCTTGATTTTTTGAACGAACGAAGA